TCCAGTTAGTTGGCCACTTAGTGTTCTTTCAAATTTCTTGGCATAGGCAAGCAAGCATTTTCATTATTACCTTTGTTGTTGAAACATCTTATTAGGCAGTCCAGTACCCTGAGCCTTGATTTTTGCCAAAGCCTTCAGTGCAGCTTAAAGTTTTTCCATGAACGTCATTGGTTCTTGATCTTATGCTACTTCCTGAAATGGGTGAATGTCAACCAATTCTTTTTTGGTTTAGTGACTCTGTGTACTCCATCTTCTTTTGATGCTTCCATCATCACTTAACATTTTCCCATAGAATCCTTCACTATTGCAACTTGAGGCTTTTTTCTTCACTTCTCTTAGCTCGAGAAATACTCAAAGCATTCTTCTCTTTGGTTTTCTTACTCCAGGTCTTTGCACATTTCATTATAATACTTTACTTAGTCTTCTAGAGCTGCCTTTTGAAATCTTCCATTTAGCTCTTGTACATCATCATTTCTTCCATTCACTTTAGTTACTATAAGTTTAAGGGCAAGTTACAGAGTCTCTTATAACATCCATAGTATTTTCAATTGCCTCATATGCATGTTAAAGTGGGACAATGAGTAAGGAAGACCGTAGAAAAAGTGATACATTTAATTAAGGTGTTAGAGAAAAATATTAAAGTACCAGGAGCTGCCAGAAGAACAAACAAATTTGTCTTAGAAGCACAACTAGCATGCTCCTTAAAAGCCAGGAGAGCAAGACTTCATTGCTCATACTTTGGACATGTTATCAAGAAGAACTAGTTCCTGGAGAAGGACATCATGATGTAAGAGGGAGGGAGCGGCAAGAAAAACGAAGGCCACTCCAAAGAGATGAACTAATAGAGTGGCAAAAACAATGGGCTCAAATGTAACAATTATGAGCATAGTGTAGGACTGGGCAGTGTTTTGTTCTGTTGTGCACAGATAGGATCTTGATGACTTGCGACCAACTCGATAGCACCTAGCAACGAAAACAATTCTAATGAAACAATCTAGTTTACCAGAAAATGTCATTTTTGTACCATCATGACTTTCACTCTATGCAACAGCAATGGTCATTGGAAAGAAAATAAATTTTAGGAGTCAAAGCTGAGCTTGATTCATGAATACGCCATAATCATCTACAAAGCTATTTTTAGCTTATATTTTATCCTTTGAAAAGTAAGAAGGACTTCACTGAGGATTACATCAAATCATGCATCTAATCAACAAAGTCTTCAATACAGGTTGTAACTCAATGTAAAGAAAAATAGAAAAATCCTCACAACTGGATCAATCAATAACATCATGATAAATGGAGAAAAGATTGAAGTTGTCAAAGATTTAATATTGCTTGGATCCACTATCAACCCCCATGGAAGAAGCAGTCAAGAAATTAATGCATTGCATTATGCAAATCTGCTGCACAAGATCTCTTTAAAGTGTTCAACAGCAAAAATGTCAGATTGAGGACTAAGGTGCACCTGACCCAAATCATAGTATTTTGAATAGCCTGATAAGCATGTGAAAGTTGAGCAATAAATAAGGAAGATCATAGAAGAACTGATGTACTTGAGTTACAGTGCTGGAGAAGAATATTTAAGGTACTGTGGACAGCCAGAAGAACAAAGAAATCTGTGTTGGCAAAAGTAAAGCCTTAGAAGCCAGGATGGCGAGACTTCATCTCTCATACTTCATACATGTTATCAGAAGGGACCAGTTCCAGTAGAAGGAACTGGTAAAGTGGAGGGTCAGCGAAAAAGAGAAAGACCCACAACAAGATGGATTCGCACAATGACGTCAACAATGGGCTCAAGCTTAACAATAATTGTGAGGATGGCGCAGGACCAGGCAGTGTTTTATTCTGTTATGCATACGGTTGCTATGAGTCAGAATCAACTACTGCACCTAACAACAAAGTAGCACAGCAGCTGATAGTTAAGATGTTCCCAATAAATGCTAGTTCATCTTTACCTCTTCTAGGCTGGTGGTGGTGGTGGTGGTGGTGTGCTGTGGAGTTGGTTCCAACTCACAGCAACCCTGCACAGGGTTTCCAAGGTTGTAAATCTTTACGGGAACAGAAAGCCTCATCATTCTCCCACGGAACAGCTCATAGTTTCAAACTGCTAACCATGAGGTTAGCAGCTCAACTTGTAACCACTACGCGTTCTAGGCTACCACTGACTTATTCAATATGTTGTTGCTAAGTGTAATCAAGTCAGTTTTGACTCATAGCAACCCTGTATAGAGTTTCCAAGGAGCAGCTGGTGAGTTTGAACCACCAGTCTTGCAGTTCAAACCAACCTTGAGGTCAAGTGCTTATCCTACGGTGCCACACCACAAAAAATTTTATTATAAAGCTCTGGTTTCAAATCTTGCATGAAATATGTGAAATTATGTTGATTTAAAATAATTTCTATGTTAACCTTGAATTTTCTTTCCTTCTGAGTTCTTATGTTGGCAGCTCTATTTTTGTCCTCCTATACTACTTCTGCATTGAAGGACTTGGCAAATAACAAGGCATCAGGAATTGACGGAATAAAAACTGAAATCTTTCAAGAAAGTGAGGCAGCACAGGAGGCACTCACTCAACTCTGCCAAGATATTTGGAAGACAACTATTTGGCCGACTGATTGGAAGAGATCCATATTTGTGCCCATTTCAAAGAGAGGTGACCCAACGGAATGTGAAAATCATCGGACAATCTCTTTGATATCTCAAGCCAGTAAAGTTTTGCTAAAGGTAATACAGAAATG